AACCCCTCCTCTCAGGGCTCAGGGAACTCTACAGAAGAGAAAGATTGTAATGGAAGACACTGATGAAACAAGGCCTTCTAAACACAGCAGGATTCACGCACATATGAACTCATGAGAAGCCATCATAGCATGCACCAGGCTTGTACAGGTCCAAGCCAGATAGGGTCCCAGGGCTTCGAAGGGAACACTATTCTCATCCATAACCCAGAAGCTATCTTCAAGTGTCAACCACTTGAAAAGGAAAATCAGTAGCCGGGCGGTGGTGGCGCACGCCTTTAATCCCAGCACTCGGGAGGCAGAGCCAGGCGGATCTCTGTGAGTTCGAGGCCAGCCTGGTCTCCAAAGCGAGTTCCAGGAAAGGCGCAAAGCTACACAGAGAAACCCTGTCTCGAAAAAACCAAAAAAAAAAAAAAAAAAAAAAAAAAAAAAAAGAAAAGGAAAATCAGTTTTTTTCAATAGAGTCTCACTAGTATATAAACCACTTAAGGGCAGGCCCCATGCCCAGCAGTAGATGGCCAATGCAAAATGAACTCAGTGGCATTTTTGTAGACTTTTTGTCTCAGATTGCTTTGACTGGGTATTTTTCTTACCTTACTGGTCTTTTGCTTATATATCATAGAGTGAGTGTGTGTGTGTGTGTGTGTATGTGTGTGTGTGTGTGTGTGTGTGTGTGTGTGTGTGATTGTGTGTGTGTCCTGCTTTTTGTTTTTCCTGTTTATTTTATTGTTTTGTTTGGTTTTGCCCATTTGTTTTTTAAAGAGAGAGGGAAAGGAGGCATGGAGTTGAGTGGGTGGGGAGGAGATGAGGGGAAGGGATCAGAAATAAATTGCATAATCAGAATAAATTGCATGAAAAAAATTACTTTCAATTAAAAAAAAGTCTGCACCTAGGAAACAATACTTCATCACAACTTATTTTGTTAGGCCTGAACACCAATTAGCAATGAAGAATCTTTAAGTCTCAATAAATGAACAAGATGGGAATTAGAATTTTTACAGCCCAAATCACATAGCCAAACCAAACCATTATTCTAGAATTCAGATGGCTGACAACCTAAATTTTGTGAGAAACAAATACATACATTCCCACACATGGAATATATGCACATGCATTTCTGCAGAATTCATATTTTCTAGTAAGCTTATTTGCTACTTGCCATATTTTAAATGAAGTGGCTTCTTTCCAGACTTCATCTAAGTTTTGGGTTAGCTACTTTATTTACTCTCTGGTAAAGCCAAGAAAAGAAATGATGCCTCTTCATGTCCCTGAAGTGATGACCTAATTAAAGGGAACACACACAAGAGAGAGGGGTGAGAGACAGGAGAAATAGAGAGACGCAGGCGTGTGTGTGTGTGTGTGTGTGTGTGTGTGTGTGTGTGTGTGTGTGAGAGAGAGAGAGAGAGAGAGAGAGAGACAGAGAGAGCGAGCAAGAGTGACACACAAAGTAGCTCTTTGTAAACGTAAGAACAGCCTCTATTCCCTTCCTATCCCCTTGAGAGTCACTGGCATGGTTTTGTTTTTCTGTTTTATTTGCTGGATGGTAGAAGCACATGCAGATGATGCCCTACATGCCACAGCATGCATGTGGAAGTCAGAAGACAACCTATAAAAGATGGTTCTCTCCTTCCACCATGTGGGTTCTGAAGATCAAACTCAAATCATCCATCTTGTCGTCATTATCCTGTGACATCCTGCCAGCTCCTAGACTGGAGTTTTAAAACATGGTTTTCATTGAAATCAGGTGGATTTTTTTTTTTTGAGAAGTAGACAGCACAACCCTTCAAAACAAAAACATGTCTAAGCTGAAAGCATCAAGGGCTCACCTTGCTTACACAGGAGGCCTAATTCTTGTTCTAACACCAACAAAAAGAAGAAAGGAGGGGAGGAGAGGGAAGGGGAAGGTAGGAGGGGAGGAGCCAGATACATGTGTTGAGCTAAAAATAAACATTTTGCATTGCTATCTGTTGTAACATAAAAACAAAAACATTATCTTCAAAAGGTTGATTTGCTTGCATGTATTAAACTGTAACCTATCTCCTAAAACAACAAACAAACAAACAAAAAACTTTGAGAAGTTTAAATAATGCTACAACAAGCAAACTTACATCCATACCAGAGTTGTTTCTGTCTCAAATCTTTCAGTCTGATATATAAACATGCCAGAGAGGTCAAGATAGTGATTACATACTTAGAATCCTAAACTGGTTTTCAAAAGAATGACATTTCCATCTATACAATTATATTAACAAACCACATGCCAGCATGTTTCTTATATAAGCAAGGACGCTGCTAAAATAACAAATGGCACATTATCATCTAACAGTTGAACTTTATCAAGAATGTCTTTAAAATAATGTTAATATTTCATGACTATTTAACTCAAATTCAAATGATACAATGGCAGTTAAAAACTCTAAATTCCATTGTTTATTAAATATTATAAGCTGTAATCAAATTTAGCTTCTTTTAAAAATAAATTACTATGCCTCTTTTTTAAGCTAAAAAATGGTTGTTTAAAAAAGAATGTAATGCTGGGTGGTGATGGCGCATGCTTTTAATCCCAGCACTCAGCTCTGTGAGTTCAAGGCCAGCCTGGTCTACAGAGCGAGATCCAGGACAGGAACCAAAGCTACACAGAGAAACCCTGTCTTAAAAAAACAACAAAAAAAAAAGAAGAAGAAGAAGAAGGAGGAGGAGGAGGAGGAGGAAGAGGAGGAGGAGGAGAAGAGGAGAAGAAGAAGAAGAAGAAGAAGAAGAAGAAGAAGAAGAAGAAGAAGAAGAAGAAGAAGAAGAAGAAGAAGAAGAAAACAAAACAAAACAAAAGAAGAATGTAACATCCTATTTTGGTTCCTGCCCCTCCCCAAGTTTTCTCTCTAGAGTAGTGAGTTATAATAGTCAATTCTTATTGAAGGTGCCCATATATCTTACCTTTTTGCACTTTGGAGAGAGAAAGGACAATTTAATCTGAGCAGGCTCCAGACACCGGTGAGGGAGGATCAGATTCAGTGTTGCTGTGCCTTTAAAACAGTAAATGCCAGCCGGGCGGTGGTGGCGCACGCCTTTAATCCCAGCACTCGGGAGGCAGAGCCAGGCGGATCTCGGTGAGTTCGAGGCCAGCCTGGGCTACCAAGTGAGTTCCAGGAAAAGGCGAAAAGCTACACAGAGAAACCCTGTCTCGAAAAACCAAAAAAAAAAAAAAAAAAAAAACAAAAAAACAGTAAATGCCATTTTGGGGAAAAGTGTTGAGAAACCGTGACTTCTTCTCCAGTTGGACATTTTGAACTCTACTTTCCCAATTATGAAACGTTTAACTAAAAATGTGGTGCAGGTATGTGATTTGAGCTATGTGGGCAGCTGAGGCAGGGTGACAGCAAGTTCAAGGGCTGCTCTGAGCTACAGTGTGAGTTCGGGGACAACCCCAGGACTCTGTCTCAAAATAAAAAGAGGACTTGAGGTACAGCTCAGTGGCAGGATGCCTGCCTAGTTTTCACAAGGTCCTAGATGAAAGAGAAACAGGGAGGTGGGAATAGAAGCAGAAAAAATACTTGTGACCTTAACAACTAAAATTTATGAATTACTTCAGAGACATATCTAAACTGAGATTTATCTGCCAGGTTAAAATAACTGGTTGGAGATTAGTGGGCTTTTTTTCTGTGAAGTAGAGCCTTTCAGTTTAACTTGGTATAACAGAATTCACATTTTAACTTTCAATTTGTAAATGTCATCATAATGCACTACATAGAAAAACACATTTTGCTATAAATTAGTCAATTGCATAACTACATCAAATGGATTATTCAACACATAACAAGCTTATTCAAATACAATAAAAATCACTTAAGATACTTTTACATTAACATCCAAGCTCTGGTTCACATTCATTCAAAATGGTTTAGATACTGTGAGTTTTGACTTTCAATATTTAAGACATCATGCAAATGTGGTCAAGGGTCCCACAAAACAGAACAACTGTTCAAACTCACAGGAAATGACAGGATCTATGTGGGAGTCCACATATCTATCTGAGAAGGAATACTAAGTTTTTTAAATATCACTCTGGCAATCCTACGTGGATGATAAGATTTATGGCTACCGCTGAACTAGCACAATTATAGAGGATTATGTAATATACATTTGAACTTATAAATTTAAGGGAGAAATCAAAATAAAAATGTGACATTCTGATGCTGGATCAAAAATGGTACATACATATGCAAAACCAAAATACGAATACTATAAAACTGAAAGGAAATTCTAATAAATTGACGTTTGGTAGCTGAGCTTCCTTGTAATTGAAAGTCACAGGAAGAGACTCTAGAAAGCAGCGAGGGTCTCTGTTACTAGTGCACGCTCCCACTGAGGCTATGACGCTCGGCCCTCTGCTCTCCTTCCCCAGCCTAGTGCCTTACTTCCAGGGGTGGAGCACATGCACTTCAGTCAAAAGTAAAAGTTCTACAGAGGAGAGAAAGAAAGTCAATTAGGGAAAACAATTTAGGAGGCTCCATTAGCAAACAAAGCTGTATGCTTTATTTACCAAAAACAAAAAAAAATCATAAAATACAAGAAATACAAAAGAGGTAATAAAATATAATAAATTTTATTTTTCCTTAAAACTGGAAAAATGGTCCTGAACAGTGAGATGTATCTTTTAGCTAGTGTCTAGCAGTCAATTTTGTATGTTCTTTATAGCTCTATTTCTTACACGTATGCAGTCATGTTATTTCTGTTATCTTTACTGTTGGTGTTCAAAGGCTAAGAGAGAAACAAAAAGAAAACCACAGGGGACGGAAAATGATTTGTAAGATGCCAAGCATTATGCTATGGATGTAAAAGAAGATTCCAGTAGGAGTAATCGTCACACACACTCACCACACAGACACTCAACAACCCTGTATTTCACAGATAAGCTTCCAGAACATGAAAGTATGTATTTTAAGTTATCTCAATTCGGGTTATATGTTTTTTACAAATTAATCTTGCAATCATTAAGCAAGGCGCTATTAACAGAACAAGATTTTATTTGCTAAGCTTAACAAATTAAACATTTAAAGAAAAAAATGATTACAGTAATACTGAAAGATACTTTTATTGGCTTTCTAAAAGACAAATGCAAATGAGAATATATTTGGTAAATTAATTCTTTAAATTGTCTTAGATGTAAATAAATATAAGATCTACTGCAATATCTTCTTGTAAGAATTGCTAAGGTGAGTAATCCTTAAATCGAAGTTTCTGATTTGAAAATCCCTAAAACTAGTATTGCCTCTTAGCTTTTTGTTTTTTCTTTAAAGGACATTTGGAATACTCACATTTTCTTAAAGTTCATCTGAAACCACTCTATCTTTAACAAAGTTTATTTCTGTATATTTAGTTTACCTAATTTTAAATTAATGAAAAGAAATCTAGACACAATTTCTAAAAAAAGAATGAAAAAAGCAATGTATGCATGGTTATTTACAAGAGTTTTCCTAAATAATATCATATCCAAAAATCTGACAACTCTCTTCTAATAATCACACTGCAAGTTTTAATAAACATCATCTATAGCAAAGAATATTTCAATGTTTGGAATTACCAGGTGAATCTAAGCGCCAGAAACTAAAGCATTTGACAAGATTAATAATGTAATGTTTATTACACTAATGGTCACGTCAGAAGCATTTACATGCTGGAAGGGTTTATCACTCACCTCTTCCAACTCTATCAAACACTGATTAACCAAGTGTGACTGGACTTTGCTGCAACAACTTTACGGATTCTTTCAAGTATATGCATATCTTTTACATAGGCACATATGCAAATGTGCAAAATAAACGAAATACAGATAACTAAAGAATGAGCAGACATGGCTGGTAAGCATAAACCCCCTGCCATTGATTTCGAAGTTCCACCTTTCACTAAGTTTTCTTCTGCTCTCAGTCGTCTTCTATCTTAGCAAAGCTGCAGGCTTACAGATGACGTGGACACTTCACATTGGTGTAAGAAGGAATGTTGGGTTGATGCAGTCTAGAGACAAAGGAAGAAGTATTAAAATGTATTAAGTTATACTTGTCGGAATCATAATACAGTAAAAACACATTTTACAGCTGCATTTCATTTAAGTATATAACAGTCTTGGGATAAAGATAACTATGTGCTTTAATATTGTTCTAAAAAACAAAGCCTCTATATAAGACCTTCATGTAGTCCACAATATTTACATTATATTTGACTCTTGAAAACTGCAAAATAATCACACTACTCAGAGAACAGTGTTCAAGTTAGCCATTTTTTTTTTGCCTTTTATCTTCCTGTCAATACTACCAAATCCTTCGAGCCACTATTCACGAAGACATTTTAACGATTAGAAAGAAAATTTAGTATCTTCTGGGAATAGAGGATCTTAGGGAACACTTAGACTAGTGTATTTTAATGTAATCCAGAAATACATTTATATAGACATTATATTTACATGTATATTCTTCAGCAAAAATAATGATATATTCTTTTCTTACCTTTTTTTAATTAAAATATAGTTGAATCATTTCCTCCTTCCTTTTCCTCCCTCCAATCTCTCTTAACTAAGTCCCTTTTGAAATCAAGGCCTCTTTTTCTCTGTCACTGTTACATATATCTATAAATGCCTAAATATATAACTATAACCTGCTCAATCCATTCAGTGCTACTTGTATGCATACAGTTTCAAGGCTGACTACTTGGTACTGAACAACTAATTAGAGGATTCATCCCTGAGGAAGACTATTTCTCTCAATCTCAGCATTCCTTACTTGCCTATCTATATTTATTTAAGGGTGGGGCACTTATAATAAGTAACATAAGCTATAAATGTAAATAATCAAGTCATAAACCACACAGTTTACTTACAAGGAGTATCATCTTCCCTCAATAGCTACAGTGGATTGGTTTCAGGCCCTCCCTCCACTATCAAACTCCTCAGATGCTCGCGTACATTAGATAAAATAGTACGGAATGAACACACAGCACGCCTCATCCTCTGCTAGTGTGTCTCACCTCTAGTTATGTACAACACTTAATACAATTCAAACACTATGTAAATGTTTGTTACACTGAATTGTTTGAACAGTATGAATGTAATTCTTTTTCAACTATTTAAAAATCCATGAACACAGAACCCATAAATACAAAGAGCTGAGTAAAGACATAGGTCTCTTTATCTGAAGAGACTCCTCGGCTGTTTAGCAAACAAGTGCTGACTAGACACACAACTTCCAGAAATTCTCTGATAACTATCAAGTTCTCTCTGCTTCTTTCCTTTTTTTCTTACTACGTGACAAAGTGTTTTCCAGTCACAAACCTTGGTCATTCTGGTTTGGTTTGTTTGTTTGTTTGCAGATCTCTGCTTGGACTTTGCACTACTTTTTGCAGAATATTCATCCTTTCTATGTAAGTATGTTGTTATGAAAATTATAGTTTTCAAATATTCAAGTTTGTGCTGCTACTTACTTCAAATGTGCCTGTGGCGAATCATTAAAAAGAAGTTGAGAAAGTAGGATTTAAGTTTCTCTGGGCATAGTGGTGCACACCTGTAATTACAGCACTTAGGAGAGTCCCAATTTTTTTGTTGTTATTGTTTTGTTTTTGTTTTTCGAGACAGGGTTTCTCTATGTAGTTTTGGTGCCTGTCCTGGATCTCGCTCTGAAGACTAGGCTGGCCTCGAACTCACAGAGGTCCGCCTGGCTCTGCCTCCTGAGTGCTGGGATTAAAGGCATGTGCTACCACCGCCCGGCTGAGAGTCCCAATTTTAAAGCAAGCCAGGGTTACATGGCAAGAGCCTGTCTCAGAAGGCCAAGGCCAAGAGCTAACAAGCTTGTTAGTTGCTTGTTGTTTCACATGTGAAGCACTGGGCTTGATCCCAACACCACAAAAATAAATAAGTACAGCTTTTGTTTATAATTTTGTATTTTAAAATTTAAATTAATAAAATTCAATTTTAAAAAATTTTATCAGTTATCTAAAAAGGTCAAAAACTTACTAAATTTCCTTAAGTTATTAAACACAGCATTTAGTACAAAGCATAGTAAATACATTAAGTAAAAATTATGCCGGGCGGTGGTGGCGCACGCCTTTAATCCCAGCACTCGGGAGGCAGAGTCAGGTGGATCTCTTTGAGTTCGAGGCCAGTCTGGGCTACCAAGTGAGTCCAGGAAAGGCACAAAGCTACACAGAGAAACCCTGTCTCGAAAAACCAAAAAAAAAAATTATAAGTGCACATTAAGTATTTAGTATGTATCTGGAAAATATGACTCTACAATATGAATAAATAAACATCATATTAACATTTCTTACCTCTATAGTAAGAAGAAGTATCTTGTTCTATGTGCAGCTGCCATACTTTCAGACATGTTTCTGACTTTTAGGTAATTAACAAATCCTCTGAAGAAAAGGAGCAGGCCTACAAAGATTGAAATCACAGACACGTTCTTAACATAAGGGGAGTACATAGACAATAGACAATGATACATATGATCTCTTCTGCTCAAGGAAGGAAATCTGTAGAATCCCATTTATTCTATATTGTATCTTAAACTACAATGATAACTCCATCATCATAAAATATAGTAACATTTTATTGACATTCTTTCAATTTCTTAATCCTAACTGTAACAAAAGTAAAGCAAACGTAAGCTATAAAAATCCAAAGTCACATAGAAATATGCAAGCAATGATCATGTTAAGTACCAACGTTAATGCATTTTAAATGAGCTCACTCCTAAAAATCTTAACCTTTTTTAAATTTTTATTGATTCTTTGTAGATTTCACACCATGCATTCCGATCCCACTTATCTCCCCATCTCCTTGCATCTGTCCTCTGCCCATGCAATCTCCTCCCCTGGAATCAAATCCAAATTTAAAAGAAAAATCAAAAATCAAGCAAAACAAAGAAAGAAAACAAAACTAAAAAGAATAAACTAAAGGAGAATCATGTGGAAGCTGTAGTGTGGCCCGTTGAGACACACGGTTTATTCACCCTTTAGTCTTTCCTTGTATGAAACTTTCTGATGAATAGAACTCCTGAGCAAATGAAGATGTTTATTTTTAAAGTACTCAGACAAAATGAGGGCAGGTAAGAAACAAGCCTGTCTCACAATATAAAGTGTCTGCCATTTGTGAAATCTGCAGTCAAAGACGGATATGTTTTTAAGTTTTTATTTTTAATTAATAAGATACTAATAATAAAAACTGAGACAAGCCACTCTAGTGATCTTTTGATTAGACAGCTGAGGTGGCCCTCTAAGCAAAATACTATTTTACATAATACCCATTTACCCCATATACATTTGTAATATTTAAAAAGCAATGCCTGTGAAATGCTTCAGAGCTTCAGATGAAGAATACTAGGTAAGTGTAGAAGCATTAACATTATTAGTACAAGCCTCTGTACAAACACAGTTTTCTTGAAAGCACTCAACTCCAGTAAATTTATACCCAGAAACAGTGGGGAGAAAACAAAAGCAGAAGGTATGTATGTATGTGACTTCCTTCACTAGGAAGGAAGAAAAATGCTTGTGAACTTGAAGTCTTAAGTCCAAAACAAACTTCACCCCACTCTGAGACAGTAATCGGAGCGCTACAGAAAGAGGCACATTTGTAACAGACGGGAGAGAGGTTAGCACATACACACGATGAGGGAATGAAGCATGAAGTTCAGTTAAATCTAGTCCCACTGGCTTTCATACCCAGCTCTCTCCATTTGTGACCCTCTCTCTCTGAATTCTACGCATTCCCTTCCAGATGCAAGTCAAAAACAGAAACATTGGGTTTTTCTTTTTCTGGGTTTTTTTGTCGTCGTTGTTTGTTTCTTCCAAATACAAAAAGCACTTTTGAAAACTAACAGACAAAATTTATTTGTGAGATCTCTTTGTCTATGAAGCTGCCAGTTCTTAGGCAGTTTGTTGTGCTCAGGCATTTTCTAAAATAAGTCGTTCATTGCTACAGCCCACTCAGTGGCACTAGTCTTGGCATCCCCCTTGCAGTCAGCTTGTTTTAAGTACTGACAGCAACATCTGAGTGCTGATGGAGTCTGCATACTCCTGGTCTATGTGGAACGGGGCTGTCGTCTGCACTCGGCCCCATGGTTATCTTCCTCTGTTCACGCTCTTAACAGTGGACACGTAAGCCAATACACTCACTAATGTCTAAATACTTACTTAACACAACTGATAGGGTTTTTTTCCCCACTTTTAGGTAAAAGACTCAATAAAGATAAAAAAATTCAGGAAGCTAAGATGTAATTAACAATATATAAACCCACATTAACCATTATATAAATATGATCCCCAACACAGTTACAACATTAAAATAATTTCACTATAATATTACAGAAAGAATTTAGTGACCTTAACTGGCCATTGACAATTTGTTCTCCAAAAATATCCTAAAGGTCCAACAATATGACTAAAAACCTAAAGAGAAGACTGCCACCTACTGTAATCTAAAAGAATTAAAATATGAATTGTCAGTCAAGACATTTAAAATAAGGGCCAAAAGTACAATATGATGTTAAAATTAATTTAATTACCATGTATTACTGAACACTCATAAATCACACCAACATAATAAAAAGCATGCCTTACAAAAAGACAACCAAACAAGTGCTGTGATCACTGGGCATGAAGTCTTTCCCTGCACTGGCAGATTAATGATTAATACAGAGCACATTTCAAAAGCACAAAGACTGTTTCCGTGATCCAAAAATAAGAAGAAGGCACTGACTGCTCCAAGGCTCCTTCTCACAGTATCATGAAATCGTGCACCTGTGCTTCCTCAGATCCTCATCAAAGAGAACAGTATTTTCATGAGACTGCCATGTTGAATTCTGCAGGACTGATTTCTCACTCAGCCACTGGTTCTCTGTGCTGGCAGCCTCTGCTTTTCCGTCTAGGAGACAGCGGCACCAGAGAACTGGGAGCTGAGGAGCGAGTGCAAGGATTTCACATCAGAGACTTGACTTCTGCACTGCTAATACACAGCTGAACTGCACTTAGGATTTTAGAAATATCACTTAACTGAGTAACGAACTAAGATTATTTAAACTGAACGACATTAAGAATAAACTTACCAAGTACAAGAAATATCCACCAAAGCCAATATTGTCCATTGAAATAGCCAGTAAAATAGTCAGAAAACTATGGAGTGAACATAAATACATTAACCATCTTTGTATTATTAAATTTGAACATTCAGATTGTTCTAGGTTTCAGAATAATCTATCTCACATAATCTTTAATGCTTAAAAAACAGCATATAAAAACAGCACAAAAGGAAAGCACAGGAATAATACTTAATGATATACATATATATTTGGGAAAACCTCTCTTATGTAATTGCAAACTTATATACTTCATAAACAAAAACTCCAAACTGCTTGCAAGAGAATAAATGCCTAAATGTTATATATTGGAACTGAACATTTTTTTATTGAAAAGTTCACATCAGTTTCTTATACTCTTAAAGCTACAACTAACATCCCACATACGCCACAGCACCCTGCTGCTTTGGATATTAGCACAAAAGCCACATTAGTTTAATCTTATCGGACGGGGATGTTGTGCTGACCTCTAGAAAGAAGCGCTTTGACCTTCTGTACACCCCCTACTGTTAATCACTGCCAAAATACTAGGCACATAAAGACCCCCAACTCATTAGAGACTTTTCACTTTCAAACTAGATGCCTGACATTCAGTTCCCAACAGTGAACTGAGAACAGCTAAATGAATCCTGAAGTGGCATTTCAACAGTTGCCATTACTGGACATGTTAGCTGGTCTTCCACTCTGTGTGAGGTGGCAAGTTAACAGGCAGCTGGGAGGCAGGGCCTCTCAGCACAGGACACAAGTATCTTCTTTTGAACAGGCACTGAACCTTCATGGAATGTAAGAGGTTTATCAATCCAGTGTTCTTAACCTACTATGGACAATGGTCCCCTATATAAGCAGCTTCTGTATCTTAAATTATGGATATTATGTATCTTAAATTACCTCAAAATAATTATTCTTTTAAGTATTTCAGATAACCTATTCTAAATAAGTTTTTTTTAAAAACTTATTTTAATTTCTTTCTTTCTACTGGTCTCCAAATTGAATCTTACTTACCTAAAAATAATTTTGTTAAATGCAATATTGATGCTTGAATCTGAAATTAATTAAAAGTATATCCAACTATTTGCTGGTGATTTTTATGAAAGCTTAAGAAAATCTACAGCTTTGGAGAGAGAATGGGGCTCTAATACCCTCAAGGTACAGGCCATACATAATGGGCTGACTTCCTTCTTGTGTATCAAGAATGACCCTAGTAAATTATCAACTTTTGGAAAATTTACAAATTCATTTTTGGATAGTTTCCTGCATTCTATGATTTAAATGAGAAATTCCATTTGAGTAACAACAGGTCCACTGGCAATATTGCTAAGTCTGGACATACTTAGTGCCAACTCTTCAGTTTCTTACCAAGAAAATCTGCAAGGACAGGACCGTAGCTTTGTCTTTGTGTTTTATTTACAACGTCTAGTAGATTTAAGCTCCTGGTAGGAACTCATTGGACATCTTTTAAAGCAAAATTAAAATGAAAAACTACCAGAGGACAGTTCTCACAATGGCTCAAACTTTAATCATCTTATAAGAAACTAGTATACAGATCCCAACCAAGAGTCAACAGATTAACATTTAAAACCTATAATCGGATATGTCCAGTACAGGATCTGTTAAAAGAACCAAAGGCCCTGGGAAGCTATAAAACAAATTCAAAAATAATAGTACATCACTCAGAATATTAATATTTGTAACAATGGATACTTTTAATAAATTAATAAAACAGATGCATTATCAAAGCATCTGGAGCATTTAAAGAGGCGAACATTTCAGACTCGTGATTCTACTGAAAACTTTAGGAAGATTTAGCTCTTTCAGTCAGAAAACAATGTTTAAGTAAGTACTACTTTAATTTAGTAATTGGCTAGCATCATTTAAAACTCTGTGGCTAGCTGTCATAACACAGTGCAAGAATGGAGACATCTGAGGGGGATTCTGAGTGCTTGTGAGAAAACTCCAAGAAAACAAAAGTTTTATGACCTCAGTTTCTTCAAAAACACAGAACTGTTCTTGGAATGTGCTTTTTATGCCCCTCCCAGGGGTCTGAGGCTCTGAATTGCATGAGACTTTCATTTGCCTCATTGTTAGGCTCCATTCTCCCAGGTTGCACTGTCTTTAGAGAGGTGAGCAGATAGCTTCGCAGCAAAGTTGACACAATAGTGAATAAAGCTACCCATGCCCACCCTTCTAGGTCCACCCTTTAAGAGCCTGCAGGAGAGACTGCAGAAACGGCTCATTAGGCAAAGACACTTGCCACCAAGTCCAATGACTTGAGTTTGGACCCTAAACCCACATGGTGGAAGGAAAGAACAGACTCTCACAGTATGTTTTACACACACACTCTCTCTCTTTCACACCACACACACACACACACACACACTCAATGAAAGCTAACAAGAACAGACTCTCACAGTATGCTTTACACACACACTCTCTTTCACACACACACACACACACACACACACACACACACACACACACACACTCAATGAAAGCTAACAAAGCCAGGAAGAAACATTTGTGAACAGCCTCCCAAAGGAACCCTTCAAGAGGCAAAGGTAAAAAGTGACCTGAATGTGTCTGACAACGAAAACACCTACACAGCTTGGGCAGAAAACCATCTCATAGCAAGAGACGCCGTTGAGACCCAAGTGAGAAAAGGACATGACCTTGAAAGTCACTTCAGGGAAGAAGAAATCCGGAGAGGCTTAGGGAGAGCACACGGAGTGCGGGATGAGGGTTCCTCAGTAAGCTTTCTCCTTCTTTCTCTTTTTCTGTTTTTAATTTTGAGATAAGGCATTACACTGTAGCCCAAGCTGGTCTCAAACCCTTCCTCCACCTCACAAATGCAGGCTGTGGGTGTCTACCATAAACTCAGCAAGAGCGAGTTCTGACAGCCATTTCATAGGCCTTTACTTTTGAGCTCTCAAAGTTCTAAGGAGAAAGGAAGTATTTAGTTATTATTTGAAACAGGATCTTCCAATATTTATCTCTTCTCATTGTATTTCTAAACATCAGAGTTCTCAGTTCGACTTGAGTATACTTTAAAAAAGTCCTCGGCAAACTCCACATTATTCTTGGTGACCTTGATATCTCTTTGACCAACCTTAACTAAGAACAAATGGACATAGTAAAAACCACCTTTGAAGATATTTAAATTCATAATAATTCATTAAGCAGAAACCTTTAGTTTTTGATTTAAGGCACACTTGTACTAACGACATCACAAGAGCAGAAAGCATGATCTGTTCAAAACATATATACTATATTTCTGTATCCTATATGTATATATATACATACATACTATATTTCTGTAGTCTGTATGTTCGAAACACACATCCATTATTTCTGTAGAGTATAGGTAACCGGGCAAGGCTCTCTGCTTTCCATCCTCAGAAATAACCACATGTGGCAGTTTTTATCAACTTATTATAAGGACACCAAGTAAATGGTAAGGACAATTTAGATAACTTAAAACGAGGACACAGATACCAAAGGTGGAAGTATTTTCTTATTTCAAATAAACAATCTTTCACATTCAGTTATGGCACATATAGTTATACCAAATCTTCATGGTTACAGAATGCCAGAGTAAAAAGTCTTTCCTGGGTGGAATATGTGTGCATGAGCAAACGCTGCGATGAACCACACGTTTTACAGAGGAATGATGGAAATGCTCACCCTGACAATAAGGATCCATTTGATCAGAGAAAGGCCAAATCCGCAGATAGCACCATACCTCCCAGCTATGGTATTGGTGATACAGAAGGACAAGCAGAACCCAAGCCAGTTGAAAATGAATGCCACTAAAAGTAAGAGAAATATGCTTGTTAACAGATTAACAGAAACACAGTCCTAGCAATACCTCACTGCTCACAGGAAACAGCAGCTTCCTTTAACTCTACCCACTGAGCTGTCCGTAGAGACTGCCATGGCTTGCTGTTTGCAGGTCTATCCGTTAATACGCAAATAAACTAGTAAACTTGGGTTCCTGTCAGTCTAGTCAACAGCTTCCTTATCAGTTCTTTAAGTTTTATTACTAGTATGCAAAACTGCATTTTTATTGATGCATTTCACTTTTCATTAACTCTTTAGGGAGCATACAAAATAACTGTTTTGATTTTCCATATATGTGGATCACTCACTGTATTTGCTCATATTTGCCCCTTTACTGCCCCCCCCCACCCCCTACTCCTGTCTTCCCTCCTACTGGTCCCCCTTCCTTTAGATGTTCCTACTTTTGTATCTCTCATATGTATGTGTGTATATAATACAGAGTCCAGGACTACCAGCCCAAAGGTAGCACCATCCACCCTGGGCTGGACCCTCTTCCATCAATCACTAATTACGAAAATGCCTTACTGGCTCCTCTTATGCGTCATTTTCATAAATGAAGTTCCCATCTCTCAAATGACTTTAGCTTGTGTCAAACTGGCATACAACTATCCAGCAAACCCGGCAAGTCACATTTACATTTCAAAATAGTCTTCTGGTTCTGCTTTTTTGTAAATGTTAATTTAGAAGAACATTAATTTTTCTTTATGTTTTCCTGAAGTCTAAAATAAGAATGATCTGGGTAATTAACTATAATGTCTCATTCTGATACAAAGATTCTGGCATACATACTGCAAACAGCTAAACCTTGGAGGAAACGTTTTCACACAATGGTCCACCACATTTTAAAGCATTAAGTCATTTTCAATCTGGTCAGTTATCTATTAGATCAAGTATTAATTTCTCGAGTTGAATTAACTGAAAAGCAATTCTATTCTACTCTATTCTCTTAAAAAAATTTTAAGAGGCACTTTATGATAAAACCTAACCAAACATGAGATTACTTCTCATATTCCTACTAAACATTATCCAGAGATACAGAGATATACATATTTCTCCCCTTTTATTTTCTATACATGAAAATGTAATTATATCACTAAATTTAACTGTAAATCTTTTCTAAGGTTACATGAATTAAGAAGCAAAAACATGAATGTTCTAAAGGTTTTTATTAAAACTCTTATATTTGCCGTGATTTTGTTTGCAAAAAATATAATCTAAAATGTTTAAGTTATAAGCTATATTAAGGAACATATTTCCAGACTATTAGTTTAAGCATGGAATAGAAACCAAGCTGCAATTTCAAGAATAGCCACTAGATGGTAGTAACTACAAATAAATCTATGCTTATCAAAGCAGGCTCTGGGCATACCAGAATAAAAGACAATTTTAATCTTATATAAAATATTTGCAAAAACAAAGAACATAAAAGCAATTAACTTGTAGAAATATAATTTCACAAATTTTACTAAAATTCAGAAATTTTGTATTAAATCTGGGAATATATATTTATATAAATCAATATACTGTCACTGACCAAAATAATCTAAGTTACCATGCATTTATAACATTTATAAGTAAAGTATTTCAAATCCAAAACATTTATTGAGGTTAAAGGAAACAATATATAAGTTCAGACTCAAATACTTAGATGACATAAACGGTATGCTTTCATTTCTAAAGAGGTTGCTACTTATACTATCAATAGTATATTCATAATCTTTTCTAATTGATAGTTTTCCTTTTGGGCCATGTATGTGTGTGCAGTGTAGATGTGGGCATATGTTCATTTGCATGGTTTTGGGCACAGTGTGTGGGATGCACATGTGTGAACATGGGTGTAGAGGCCAGAAGTTGCTAATGGATGTCTTCCTCAGTTGCTCTCCACTTTATTTATGGAGGCAGGGTCTCTCATTTGAACACAGAGTGACCTAGCTCACTCCAAGGATCACTGTCTCTTCCTCTCAAGTGTTGGAATTACAGGCAGCTGCCACACCTGCTCAGCACCACGCCTGCTCAGCACCACGCCTGCTCAGCATGGGTTTAAGGAATCGAAATTCTGGTCTTCATATGTGCACAGCAAGCTTTACCCACTAAGCCATCTCCATCGCCCCATGTTTTCTTAAAAGACATAACCATGAAAGGAATAAATGTTTAAGATATTCCTTATGTCAACAAAATAAGTGAGGAGTTTGATATTATTGTAAAAGCTTACTAGATGAATAAAAAATCAAAGATTAAAAACTCAGGTGCACTAGACTAGCAGTAGGCACAGCAGTGATTAGTCATCTGTCACCTGAGAATCCACTCCTTTTTGTTCTATCTACCACATCCACCCAACACTACAGCAAAAGGAACTTAGGATTCAAATAGCACAGACTGGATAGCAATGTAAACACAATGAGTGAATCTGAAAAGAAAGCCGACTGTCCCCATCTCCTTACGCATGTCTTTTGTTTGAAAAAGGAAATAAAGAGAAGAAAGCATCTCAAACTGAGAAAAGGGGTTAAGCCAACCTCCAGACTCAAAAGGAGTTCAACACGTTAAAAATGATTATTTTTGAAGTTGAGAAGAAAGCATCTCAAACTGAGAAAAGGGGTTAAGCCAACCTCCAGACTCAAAAGGAGTTCAACACGTTAAAAATGATTATTTTTGAAGTTGAGTGTATCATTTTACATAAGTAAACTATTTCTCATTTTTATCTGTTGAGTAAACAATACATGATCTAAGTTTTTACTGAACATTACATGTCTACTATTGGTTTACCAGTAGTGAATTTAATGCATGCTAATCCTCGTGTTCGGAAATAAAAAACACTATGACAGTCTCCCCTCGCAGTTTAAATTGACTCTGTTAAGTCAAATAATTAACAATTTTGTATGAGGTTAAAAATATTCAGGATTGTAGCCTTCTAACTATTACCCTGAATAAGACTTGTATATCCATACCTCTGTGGCACTGTTCTGGATTTCTAGAATTTTCCCTTCTCCAACCCTTCTGACTTAAGGCCACTTGGAGGGACGTCTTCTGCCCCCAAAGCAGAAATGTACAGTTCACTGTATATATGACTACAGCCTTGAAAGGACACAGTATTTCTCTATAAATTCTTGTTCTGCTTTTTCCCCTGTAAAATCTCATTCAGCTTAAATATGCATATACTTCTGGTCAGTATCAACCATAAAGGCTGCTGCTATCAGAATTACCTAACAAACACTTAGCAAGTTCTAGGATTTACTATGTCTACTGTCCTGAGCAATTTACCCTTTAAATGAGGCGGACCCATGCCAGCAGGAGGTTTTCTTCACTGTTATTTTAAATATACTTACACCAGTATTTCCTAAAGGTAGAATGGAAAGGTCACTTACTGAAAAACGCCAGCATGAAAATGCCATCATTGCCTACTCTAAGCTGGTCTACATCGCTGAAGTCATCTCTTGGTGTACACTCTTCCTCCTGGTTCTGGAAAAGACAGACCAAAACATGTCACAAAAATAATTACAATGTTATTACCTTCAATTTAAAAGTAAGAACATCAGTGACACCTAACGTTCTCAAGTGGTCATACAGGTAAGACATCAGCAAGTATTACTTTATCATAGGTGCTGTTGAGATCTTTAAAGGCAAACCACAAAAGGTAACTTGAGGGGTCGGGAGGCGGCTCAGTCAGTACAAGCACACAGACCTGAGTTGGGACCCTGAAAATCTACGTAAAAAGGTTGGCATTGCAACATGTGTATAACCCCAGCGTTGGCGGGACAGAGACAGGCAGATCCCTGAAGCTCACTGGCCAGCCAATCTGGCTAAATCAATAAAGTTTTGGTTCAATGAGAGCCCCTGTCTCAGAAAAGAAACGTGAAGAGGGAAGGAAGGACACCCCAAACCCAATAATATACCCAACACTTACCTCAAGCCTATACACACACACACACACACACACACACACACACACACACACACACACACACAGGTTGAGGGGGAGAATAATATCAAATTCAGGAAAAAGATACAAAGAAGACAGATGTGATACCACTGCATAAATGTCAAGCGGGAAAATAGAACTCTCATAATCAGTGACACAGGGCGATCTGGATAACCTCTGGTTAGGAAGAAGTAATTATTAAAAATGTGTATGTCCTCCGATCTAGCAATTTCGATTCTTGAAATAAATTTAAATATAATTTAAATTTAAATAAATAAATAAATATAAATGTATATATATATTGACATGCTTATAAGAAATAATATATTAAAAAAATTTATTGTAGTGATGCTATTAAGAACAGACTGGACACAATTATAAATGTCTCTTAATCATGGGCTGAGTTGGGAGATAACTCTACAGACATCACTGACTCCTTTTTCTGGATACTCACACAGTGGATAGCTTTGGAGAAGAGTGGAATCTCCCAGCAGAGCAAAGATGTGGGCATTCTTTTTTTTTTTTTTTCGGGGGAGGGGGAGGGGATGAAACAGGGTTTCTCTGCCTTGAAAACACACTCTGTAGATCAGGCCAGCCTCAAACTCAACAGAGATCCACCTGCCTCTGCCTCCTGCCTGCTGGGATTAAAGGCGTGCACCACCACCCAGCCAGATGTAGGCATTCTTAAGGATGGCTGGAGAGCTGGGATCCTAGCAACATAATCCACAGTGTGGTGGCCTGTAGGAACTGGGGGGCTTGGTAGACAGCAGAGCAAGACAACTGCCACTGCTCCGAATAACCAAGTCTTTCCTTCTGACCTAAGAAACTTCCTGCCTTCTTTCCACAATATCGGAAACTGACAAACTAAGAATCTCTCTACCAGCTGGGTTAAAATTCAAGTCAGTTCTTGGTAGACGGATTAAATTATAGGACATGTACCCTAAGAAACTAAAAAGTCAGCATTAAAATTTTTAAGTTAATTTAAAAAGGTTTTTAATATCTTGGTGTCTTTACTATTCTAATTATCGGGGACTACGGGGGTCCAGCCCCTCGATAGTCCCCTCCCAGGGTCCGGGAAGAGTCTACAACCAGCTGATAATTAATCTTTGGTGAGAGGAAATGAATCTATGTACATGAAACTCCTTAGTCCATATACTTCATTCTTCTGAGTCAGTTACAAGCTTATATTCTGCTCTCGTATTTAGCTCATTTCTAGCCTGATTTCTCTCTACACTTGTCTGCGGTCCCCTCTAGGTTCTATTTTATTCCTTCATCTAGTTCTGCCCCTTCTAGGTTCTCATCCATCTTGTTCCTTCCCATATCATCTTTTCTCCCATCTCCTTCTCTCTCCTCATCTCGTTCTTCCTCAACTTGTTCTTCCCCATCTGGCTCTTCCTCATCTTCCATCTCGTTCCTCTAGTCCTCTCTTCTAGTCCTTCAATCTAGTTCTTACCCATCTCCAGTTTGTTCCTCTCAAGTTCTTACCCATCTAGTTCTTCCATTCTCTTTTCTCTTCTCTCTCTCCCCGTGCCCTGGAAGTCCTGGTATATAAAGCCAGGCTTCCAGGGTCAAACGGAGGGGTGATAAGAATCACATAGGGAGCCAATAACCGTTAATTATCATTTGCAACCCCAAAGGGAAGTGACCAATGGGGAAATGAATTAACTAAAGGCTAAATTCGGGTAATATCTAAGAAGAGGGAATCTTACGTGCTCAACTATAGTCTTAAACGTGATTAGTAGAAAATGTTAAGAATCTATAAGTTGCTAGGTCAATGGGAGAAAATAAAACTGTCTTCTTTTTTCCTGTGGCTCCTATCTGTCCAAGCTATCTGCCGTTTTTCTGCAGGGTGGGGGAAAGTGTGCTCAGTCGCTAGGCAACCTGTGTACAGCTAGATGCCTCTGGTGATAGTTAAAGGGAGATCTGGAACCAGAGGTAAGGTTTGGGAAAGGAGGAAGTAAAGTTTAATTGGCACATCCACCAGGCCTTCTCAAACAGGTAGCCTGGATGGTTAAGTCTGTTCTTAGAGAATACAGAGGTATCTCTGATAAAGTATTCTCCTCCCTCTGGGGATGGACCTGGCCGGATGCTGCTAATGATGATAATTACAGGGAGGCTTGAACTGGGGTTCTGGCTGAGCATTGTTGTCAGCGCAGAAGGTTATCTAAATATTCCTAGAAGTGGTTAGGCAAGGAGTTAGCGGTCTATAAAGTTAGTAGGCTGTAAGAAAGGAGGGTCCGAGCTGAATTGCACCTGACCTAGGTGGTGTCTCCTTGTGGAATTTACCTTAAATGAGGAGACTTGCATGTAGACTGTTATTACTGCTAGTCCTTGAAAGTGGCCAAGGGAGATATCTGATTCCAGAGAAAGCCTTTCCTGAGGCTGTTCTCCAAATACCTGGAATGTGTATGTCCAGAGAGTGATCAGTCCACACTGTTAGCCCTTCTTAAGGAAAAGTCAATTGGGAAAACTATGAAGGCACACATGACTTTCATAACAGAATACAGCTGATATATAACAAGCAAAGTAACACCAAAAACTCCTTGGGATTTGGCTTCCTCTGGAGGAATTCCCTGATTCCTCCAGGTAGTGGCTTTGCCATAACCAGCTGAGTTCTTATAATATATTCCTGCGGCCCACAGCATCTAATAATCTCTAAAATATACTAAATGAAATAATGTTTGTATAGTATACCTTCTGCTTACAAAATAATGCACTAACATATAAATGTTTTTGCTTACAAATGTAAAGAACTCTGAAATTATTTGTAAAATCTGTTATCACTGATTACTTCTAATAGTTAAGAAATAGTACTACACAAGGTTTTGCTTCCTTAGCCTTGAGCCCTATCATTTCTCACAAACAAACCTGCATGCTGTTCTAGAGCCCACACAGCAGTCAGATGGAATGAGATAATAAAGACGTATCGAGTTATTTATTTAATTATTAAGAGTAAATGAATATATGAAAGGGGAGGAGTAAATGATACACTGAGGATGGATAAAAGGAGAAGCAAACAGGAACAGAAAATAAGACAATGTAGCTTTGATGATAAGACCATGAAATCTGAACTCTCTCAGGAGAAACAGGTCCATGGGCAGGAAAGAGATCAGTGGAAAGGAGGTCCACAGGAAAGAAAAGAACCAGGAGGGTGGTGCTGATCAGAGTGAGCCGACTCGGACATTGAAAAAGTCAGTGTCTGGTATGTCTGAAATCAAATGAGGACGTGACAAATGTATTGAAAAAATAAGTTCTAGGATGCCGTAAGCTGAGGCAGGGCATAGAGAAGATCAACAGAAAGTGAGGACGTCAAGGACCAGAGATGGCGAATTTATCTATAGAGTGTAATGTGACCGATACTGACACACAGAGACAGCAACAGGAAGACTACACACACTCCTACCCACAGAACGATTTTTACATTCTTTTTACAGAAAGCCACAAAAACACTGTCAAACAAACGATGGCTTTACTCTTTGAGGTGTTTCCGCTGCTGCAGCTGCCATGGCAGCAGCTTTGGCCTTTTCAGCTTCATCATACGTAGGAAGAGAGGTAGCAACACTGTATGGAGGTGGCACGGGGTAAAACTCACTGTAAACTTCAGTATCTAAAGAGAAACAAGATATTTAAAGGAAATCATTAGAATTTAATACGATTTTATAGCCATGGTCATACTTTAATAACTTACAATAAGACACTAAAGATTACTATTGCTATTGTAGGTCTGTATTGTAAGGTATATAACACAAAACACTGCTAAACTTTTATTATCTTTTTTTTTGTTAAATTTATTATAAAGAGGATGGGATGACAAATACCATCTAAAGGTAATTCCAACTCAAAAAGGGCTCAAGATTGAGCATTTTGAACATTCATTGATTTTGTATGTGCAAGTACATTTTCCCCTTCAGCTGTGTGGATTCTTGAGACCAAACTTAGGTCTTCAAAGAATGGCACTATCTCCTGAGGCACCTCACTGATGCAAAAATGAGAATTTGAAAGGAACTTTGGAGCAGGAGGTGAGACTCTCACAGGATGTAACATCTTCCATGTGCTCACCAGGCTACACAAAGCAGCTCATGCACTCACCATTTCACACCCAAACCAATCAAAGAAAAGCCTTTAGAAATTAGTAATCACAGCATCTATGTAGTGCTGACCATGGTGTCTGTCTTCTCTATACATTGTTAGCAACACTGAGATCCAGGAAAACTACGTGACTTGTGAGTCTCAATCACACAGAAGGGGCATCCCCAGAGTCCTCTGCTCTGAGGAACAATACAGGGTCATTTTTCTACATTAATTTCAGCAGCTACCCTAATCTCTTACGAAAATTCCATATTCTCTTTGCTTAAAGACTGGTGGACTTTTAGTCTTTCTCATTCTCACCTCCTTTTCCTTCACTTTCCCCAATATCCATATAGTTCTCTAGATTTTCATTAACAATTTCTGTCTCTGATTTTTAAAGCATTTTTGAGAAATGATTGGCAAAAACTATAGTAAAATAGTAAGTATAGACTGCTCATTTTGAAAAATAAAAATACAGAACATATTTCTAATATAATTAGTGTAAGTTAAGTTCAGCATGAACTGATAACGTTTACAGCAGAAAGATGACTGTGGAAAACGTAGATTCTAAAAGCAATGTCAAACACTGAGGAACACAGAATTTCTTCTAACTATAACTATAATATTTTGATATTTTTCTACACTAGCTTATAATTTTCTCTGTAACAGAATTTCTTGCATCTCCAATATGAAAAGTTTTTATTTTAGTATTATATTTTCAGCTATAGAGGTTTTAAGAAAAAAATAAGTTATCAACATAGGCTAAGAATCTGAAGCGAGGTCATTTCTAATCTACTGACAGAAACTGGTAGTAACAGTACAATTGAGAAGCAAAATCTAAATGAAAACACAATTATTAATCTAAGACAATAACATTGAAATTATACATTTAAATAGAACACATCATCCAAGAAGACATAATCTTCTCTATCAACAGCATGTAAAACCTTGAAAATCTTTTAATATTCAACATAGAAAAGAACCAAGCCATTAACAGAAGCTGAGACATCTCCAGCTCCAGCATCAACTGTGACAATTTAATTCTCTACTCTGTACACAGGCTTCTCAACAAGACTGAAGTCTGGGAGCTCCGTTTCCCAGTCTCTCAAAGACTGTGTCCTTAGTCCAGGCACTGACATGCTATGGAGCTTGACTTCCCCATGCACACAATGGTATTACAGAGGGAAGTAGCATCTAAGAGCAATGTGTCATGAAACACAAATGTCACATATTATTACTGATGCTACTCAGATCTAGAAAAAAAAAGTCATAAAATGAGCTAATGGAGAATACAATGCCACAGAAAACTAGGAAAAGATCATATTTAACACATAACTAAGAAACCAATAAAATATTATCAATAATTTTTCACTAAAGAGACTCCAAGTCTAGAATTACTCAGTTCTTGTGGTTAATTAAAGTCTTGAGTATCCTGTTAGCCAGAGTTGTAAACGAATGCAAAGACTCACCTCTACAGAGGATAGTGCAACAATAAATGAACACTCAACTATGCAAAGACTCACCTCTACAGAGGATAGTGCAACAATAAATGAACACTCAACTATCAGACTCATCTTAGTTGAAATTTATCTAATCCTTAAAAATTATATGCTACATTATCTACTCCAGATCACAGAAAACCAGAAGCTTCTCAGTTTGTTTTATGTTGTAGTCAAACTACAAAGACAGTATACAAAGCTTTAGGTCCCATTAAGCCGTGCGAGCTCTACTAAAGTGTTCACATACCATATCCAGAAGAGATGAAGCCATGGCACGACAGTTCATTCCAAAAATTAAAGATGGATCAATTTTTGAAAATCTAAAAATTATTTTTGTTGCTACTTCATAGCTGTAATTTTGCTACTATTATGAATCATAATATAATTATCTGTGTTCTCCAATGGTCTTAGTTGATTCCTGTGAAAGGGCCAGTCCACCTCACAGGGGTCACGACCCACCAGTTGAGAACCATTTCTAGCCAATCAGAGCCTTTTACTGACATAGCAAAGACAGCAGAAAAGGGCTTGGTAGCAGCAACAGAGCAGCGGCCCTGTTGGCAGAGCTTTAGAAGCCCCAATTCTTAGCAAGTTCTTATCAAGAAGCACTAAGCAAGCATTGATAAAATAAGCATTCTAACAAATAAAACCAACACACTAACTTTATTATGGAGGACCTCAGAAGACTACTTCCAAAAACTGCCTTGAAAAGTCAATGAACTTCAAGTGCCTGGTCTTTTTACAGGTTACAAATACAAAAATGGTAAGTGGACAAAGTTAGCATGAGCTTCCCACACGGAGTCAACCTTCACCAAGAAACAGGGAAGAAAATGTAATGAAGGCTTTGCTTGTGTTTGTGGTGTTGGTGATCAATTCAAGGCCCTCATGCACACCACCATGTAAGCACTCTACCAAGGAGTTACAGCCCCAACTTATGAAGGGGTGTTTTCTTCTGTTACAATGTTTTTCAGTAACTAATTCTTAAAATCAATACTTCAAATGAATGTGAAAGAGACCTTATAGACACTTTTAGAAATTATTACAGTACTCAGGAAGACTACAGTAGTAAACAGAATCATACAACTATAAAAACAGAGTATATAAAACATGGGCGTATATAAATTATCATGTGCCCCGCTGAACACTGCTGAGAAATTACACACTGAGCAGGATGACCTGACACAGAGGACAAACAGCAGCAAGCGGGGATCTCTGACTTGGATACGAGCATTCGTATCATACATATGCTCACCCACACCCACCACATTCTGACTCACTCTTTTCATTATCAGCTTTCCATTACAATCTTATGAATATATGAGCACAAACATATTATGTTTGTGTATAGAGAGAGACGTGTGTGTATGTATACACAAGTGTGATTATATGTGTGCATGTATTCGCTTCAAAGTTCATTCAATAAGCTGGTGCAAGGGCACATGTTTGTACTCGGAGCACAAGTCACTTGGACGCGGAAGCACAAAGATTATGAATTCTAGGCCAGCCTGGGCTACACAGTAAGCTCCAGGCCAGCCTGGGTTATAAAGCAAAACAAAACAAAGCAATCACCTCATTGAAAGACTTGATAATTACACAAAACCATCCTGTCAGAAAGAAGAGGATGTAGTGATCATGACTACATTCCCACCTGAAGTTGTAGGTACTTCCACAGTAATGCTACTGTAAGGTGGAGGAGAAGAGTCCGTTTCCAGTGCTGGTGCTGAAGAAGCAGCTTCCGAAGTCGGTGCTGTGGAGTTAGAAGTTGATGGCTGCTCTACAGCAGATGATTCTGAATTATCTTCTTCATTGTGAAGCTAAAGAAAAAAGAGAAAGAAAATTAATGTAATAACTTATTGTTCTCTTCACCAGCTAATTCTTAAAGATTATTTAAATTTTAAAGATATTCAGGAAAAGGAAGAAAAATAACATTTCAAAAATGAACAAAAAATTTAATGATTTAATCAGTATAGGGTAAAACAAAAACTATAAGCAGGAACTAGTTCATAAGCATCACCCTGCAAACAAGCAAATGTACCGAGTTCTCAGCATCTTGCTTTAAATATGCACTGAAATTTGGTTTCACATTTCTAACATAAAAATATTTTCTGTGAGTAAAAACCTGTCTTGGTAAACAGAATACACTTGTATTCTACGGACATGGAGGCTTAAGTCTCATCACCTAGCCAGCTTGCACATCTGCTTAAAATCAGGGTCAGCAGGGCTTTTATCAAACAACTGAGCTGTCTGCTAGCAAAAGCAGATGTTTTGTTTTCATCTTGAAATTGCTTGTGTCAGTTTGCATTCTATTACTGTCAAACACCCTAAGCACAAGAAATGGGGGGTGGGGGGTATTTCACCTCACAGGTTATAACCCATCATCAAGGGAGGTCAGTGCAGGAACCTAGAGGCAGGAACTGAAGCAGAGACCATGGAGCGATGCTGTATTGGCATGTTTTCCATAGCTTGCTCAGCCTGCTTTCTTATAGCATCCAAGACTATCTCCCCAGGTGGCACCACCCACAGCAGGCTGGGCTCTCCCACATCACTCAATCAAGAAAATACCTCATAGACTTGCTTTACAGGTCAATTTGATGAAAGTATTTTCTCTACTGAAGTTTCCTCTTCTCAAATGACCCTTGCTTGTGTCAAGTTGAAAAAAAAAAAAACCACATGCACGCGCATACACACACACACACACACACACACACACACACACACACACACACATGCACTAACCAGCACATTGCTGCTGTCTACTCTTATGAATGAAAAAAATCTGTAGAAGAGTATAGGGTATAACTGGATTTTAAGACGAGGACATAATACTGTAACACATAAGAACAATTCAAACTTCTAAAACAGTACACAAGAACAGTTGTAAGTTAGGAGAAGCATTCTTGTTATCTGAAAATTTTTACCCCATATTTAAATTAACGTAAGCTTTAACATTTTTTGTTTGTTTTTTGAGACAGGGTCTCGCTATGCTGGGATTAAAGGCATGCACCACCACACCTGAGAGCCTGCTTTAACATTTTTAATAAATAAAATAAAATGCAGTAAAATGGAACCTAGAACTGCTAGTTTCACATGTCTCAGAAGCAAAAATGTTAAGATACACACTATTCCCTATTTAAAAAAAAAAGGGTTTCTCCAACATACACTATATCAGAGATTGTTAGAGCAGCTCCGTTGTTTATTGTTGAAAATGGTACAATACAGAACTGTAACCAGTCAAAAATGTGCCTAACTAATGCAAATAAGAAAAGGTACCTATCTTTTCCAGAAAATGAAAGGGAAAGATATTAGTAAGCTTGTGAGATAATTATAGAATAGACAATAATTTTTTGGGGGGTGGGGGGAATTTCGAGACAGGGTTTCTCTATATAGCCCTGGCTGTCCTGGAACTTGCTCTGTAGACCAGGGAGGCCTCGAACTCAGATCCACTTGCCTCTGCCTTCTGAGTGCTGGGATTAAAGGCATGTGCCACCACTGCCAGGTAACAATCAAATTTATACTACCAAACTAGAGTCTTCTGAGCTTCAGACCTGTGTATCCGTTTACTAATCCATTTTTTTTTAAAGACACCAAGCAATGACCAAAAACAGGGCTCTTGATTTACGTTCAATTCTTTTTCTCTTCTCTCTCAGTGTTCAGCTAACCCACATACTCTTTTCTGACTCTGAGACAGTCTTTCTATGTAGCCCACACTGTCCCAGCCCTCCTGATCTACCATCTCACATACTTCACTCTTGTGTGCCTCCTTCAGTGACAGGACTCCCACAATTTAAGAAGCTGTAATTCACAATGTGTTTTACTAACCAAAGATATCTATAAAAGTGGAGATTAGTCTGTGAAAGCAAAAGTAACCCTCCAGGAACACTTCTCCAAGCCTGCTTCAAATGAAGAGGACATGCATTGGAGGTCCCGGTCACAAGGAGACTATGAAGGAATAAAATGAAAGAGAAGCCTTGCTACCCCTTGTACTTTCAAGTCCCTCCCAGCCAGTCACTGACTTCCTTAAGTTAAAGGAGAGGAATGGAAGAGTTTTTTCATCTCAAAGCCTTCCAAAGAACAAAGAAAGCATGTAGGTGGGGTAATGATCTTATATAAACTTCTGCTTTCAAAAAAAAAATGACACCTCTGCTTGAATTCCTTTTCATGTGCTAAAGCTGCAGCATAAATATCTGGGAGATGTTAAGATGCCTGCCCTCTGTACGGCACTCATGTTCAGCCCCTCAGTTAAGTAACATATGCTGCTTAAAATGCTCTATCAACCAAACTCCACAAACCATTTAGGAGGGGAGGGTAATGAAAGGTAGCAATAGGGAAGGCAGATATGATCAAGGTGGGAAACACGCATGTGTATACACTGAAACCCATTAACATGTAAAACTAGTGTACATTAGTAATAAATACTAGCTCTCTCAGACCTCAGCTACGAAAATTTTCATAAATCTGCTGTATATTTATTCTTCTTTATTAATCAGGCAATATGATCTTAAGAGATGATTAGCAACTGCTGACCTAGTCTTTAAGGAGGGAAAAAGGGAACAAGAAAAAAGGGAAAAAAAACTAAATAAATAAAGCCAGTAAAACAGCTGCCTGTGCTGAACTGGAGCCTTCTCCCGCGGTCTTTAACCTGAGGTACCTCTTAGGTGACATCAGAGGGGAAGACGCCAAGGATGAGCCCTCCCTCAGCAGCAGGAGCTGGCAGATCCAGGAACAGGAACAGCAGGACTCTAAGCACTGGTCAGAGGACTAGAACCTGAATCCTATCTCTGACTCGGAACTGCCTGGAGTGTCACTAACTGATAACTATCTAAACCTGGTTCCTGGAGCTTTAAACCTTATGAGATTACTGGACAGCATCAAGCTTTCTGATAAAGAACAAAGGTATACCATTGCCTCCTCCTCTAAGAGTTAATCCAACAGGGCCTGTCAATCATCTAAGACAGGAAAACATCCTCAAGAAATGTCTGCCTTAGATATTTTAGAAACAGTAGATAAAGCCTGCCTACTCTGTAAAGTGATGTAATGGTCTCTGCTGCTGGGCACTCCACAGCTTACCAGTGCCTTACTTTACCTGCACCGGATCCTGAACTCTTTCCACAGTGAACACGAAGACTGGGAAGCAGATGGGAGGCCAGAGCAAGCTCCCAGTGACAGTCCATCCTGGGAACTGCTTCCTACCGGCCTCCACACGATCTTTTCCAAGATTGACTTCATCAATCTCGTCGTACCAGTGCAGCACGAAAAGACCACAACAAAGGGCAGAAATGTCTACACAGTTCATCAGGGAAGTTATTTATTGTCTCCCATTTTTCAGTTTTATACCGAATTGTATTTCACTTTCTGATGTTTGGTTTTGGTTTGTTTGGAGTCAGGATCTCAATATGTAGCCCCAGCAGGCCTCGATCTCCTAACCTCCTACCATAACCATTCTGGCAGGAAAGAAGACATTCTGAAGAGAGACACTTGTGACTTCCCTTTGGCTACGACACTATTAAAACAATGATCCCCAGGGAACTGAAATCTCCCCAGGAATCTCAGGGAAGAAGGACCGCACGAGAAGGAGAAGGCCGAAGCCTGGTGCCAGTCAGAAGAGGAATCTGTCTCCTACAAAGAGAGGCAGACAGTTCTGACAACGTCTTAGACCATCATGCAGGGAAACAAACAAGATCAATGGAGTACCTTGACCAGGACTCCTTAGTGACACACACATCCTGCCCCCTCTGTTTAAATGTTAACCACATGCCAAGACTCCAAAGACAGACTTGGGATCACTGGACCTCTTTAATGTTTCCTCTTCAAAATATGGCCAAATTGAACAAATCTCCTTTGCCTGTTTTTCATTACTTGTCTCTTCCATTTGTGGTTTATTGGGGATGGTGGCTGAGCCCAGCTTGTAAAGGCTGCCAAGGGCCATGCTCTCAACCAACTACTCTGGTATCACTGCTTCTGCCTTTTGAGGGCTGAGATCCAAGCCTGGTCCACCATGTCAGACTTGGGTTTACTTTTAAAAGATGGAAGTTTTTGAAATCTAGTCTCTAGGTTTGGTGTAGCATCTGTCCATGGCACACTATTCTATGTCATCACTTCAAGCAGGTTTTTGAGATGTATTTATTAGTGGATACGCTATAGTTTTAAGCAATTAAGGAAAATATATGACTGTTGCTTCCTTCTCATTACAGATCCATGGCACTTTGGGTGGGCATTAGTTATATCTAGACTATAGACAGACACTGACTATATTTCTCATCAAACTCCTTTGGCAAAGCAAATCACTCCCAACACCCAGCAAGGCCCTCCTTCTGGGAAGGGTACCTGGGAAAAAGACTGGCTAAAATAACAAGGTAACCTAATTAAAGGACACACAAAAGCATATAACTAAGAACAAAAAAAGGAAAGCTCCCACACAATTAAGGAAACATCAAGGTATGTACCTATATAAATTTAACAGAGCTCACTCATCTTCAAGACAGGCACGCTTTCTATCAAATCACATATTAGAAATAACAATACAAGGAATCCTAGTTTTTAAGCTTCCCTTCCTTAAATGGCTTGAGAACCAAAATTTAGAAACCTAGATGGAAAAGATACTATAAGACATTTTTTTCTAAGAAGGAAAAAGTTTAAAAAATAATGTTTGGCTTTATAAAGCCATTTAAATGTTGAGTTTCTGTGGGAGCCCACAGAGGCTCCCTAGTAAGGCATTACTCAAGGTCAGAGAATCTGAGCTTGCTTTACCCAGCATGGCTGCATAATAATAAGATGATTTGGCCAGGGGCGTGGTTACCAGGTGTTTTGAAGGGTC